CCTTGTGAGAGTGTTAGTCAGCTTCACATTGCTACGCTGAAATACCTGAGACAGGCTACTGATCAATAAAAGGTTTTCAGTTCACAGCTTTAGGAGACTTGAGTCCAGGAGCAGGAAAACCCACTGAGTTTGGAGTCTGGTGAAACAGCACCATGTGAGAGGAGGGTGAGTTTCAGAGAAAGTGCTCACATGGCCAGACAGGAAGCAGACAGTGAGGGGAAAGGACTAGGGTCACACAGCCCCCATTGGGAACACACTTCCCAAACCTAAGGACTTTTCACAAGTCTCCACCACCCAAAGGCTCTACCATGTGCCTGGAGTGCCTCTCTGGTGGTCATTACATATGGACGTTTGGGGGCATTGGGTACCCAAATTCTAGCAAAGGATGAGGTTGGTCCCTTTCCTGCACATAGCTGGCAGGGTGTTCACCCTCTATGTCCATTTGCTAATCTCTGTGGTATTTTAAAATACTATACTCTGTTTAAATCTTGAATTTTATTACCGTAAGTCTTCCTAAGCTACGAGTCCTCTTTTAACTGCCACATAACGAATAAAAACTATGGGTATTAGCACAGAATATTATTATTATATACTCATACTGACATTATAAGTAGTAAATTTGGAACTCCAAGTTGCTGTAAACATTTCAGTGTCTTCATATGGAGTGGGAGGGGGAGCCATAAATGCTTTAGAGGAAAAATGCTGTATTCAAGGTATTTCCAGCATACAATGGTTAAAACTAAAAAGACATATTATCAGAAGCAATGGGGACCATCATACCATGCTGAGGAGAATGTAAGTTGGTATGAAACAACTTTGGAGAGCAGTTTGGTGTTATCCATTAAAGTTGAAAATATGCACATCTGTCATCTAGCAATTCCATTCCTAAGTAAAAGCACAGAGAAATAAAGATCTCAAGAATAGCGCTATTCATAATAATTTACTACTGAAAACCATTCCAGTGTCCATCAGCATTATTATGGTGATGACAAATGCTGATCTGTGCTTAGGATATCACACAGCAATGAAAAACGCAAGCTACAATGAAAGGCAGTGTTGGGGACCACAAATTCACAATGGTTAATTTTGCATACCTCGCTAAGGGATAAATGGAGGCTTGGAAATATCGGTATCACCCTTTTGAGATTTCCCACTAACTCTTTAGGGATGAGCCATCTTCTCCAGCCACTAAGACTAAACTAAAACCACTAAGATTAAAGAACGCTCCAGGGCAAGATCCTCCTTAGCATAAGATCATCTCTGCCCTCTTGAGTCACCCTAGGGTTATCTGTTGCCCGCTGAGTCACTGATCTCTGAGTCTTCCACCGACCTTGAATTTTCTGCTACCCCTCCTGTCCTTGTACACACATGATAAACAGTGGCTGGCTTGGAGTGTCTTTGTCTCCACCCATCCTGAGGCACTGACCTCCCAGCCCCTCTTCACACATTACTAAATTTGTCTCTGTTTCTTATCTCATCTTCTCTCCATAACCTTCACACAGGCAGTTAGGGATCTTGGCCAGATCCCTGACAAGGCAACAACATAAGTGAATTTTGCAAACATAATGCTGAATGGAAGGGAACACACACACACAAACACACACACAAAAACTATCTAATTTATGCTAAATTCAAAACAGGGAAAGTGACTACACAGGAATATAAACTTCAGTGAGTAAAACATAAAGAAGAGCAAGGAACAGCTATAAGTCTGCTTAGTTACCTTTTAGCAGGTCCACCCCAATGAAAGATTTGAACAGAAAATTGTCACATTCACTAATTATGAACCTATAAATATTTTTCAGCACTGTTTTGCCTATGTACAAGTAAAACTGTAGTAGGTATTATATACATATTGTTTTTTTATTTTCATTTGATATATATAGTTTTTTGGATATTATTTCTATAAAACAAAGGATCAATATTCTTCCAAGTAAAAAATGTTCAAGATTCATTGGAGAATTGCAAAACCTGTGTGGTTTAGAGTAGAAGTACAAACAGAAGCCAGGCGTGATGGCACACCTTGTAATCCCAGTACTTTGGGAGTCTGCAGCAGGGAGCTCATGCATTTAAATTTCACCTGGACAACTAAGAGAGATCTTGTCTCAAAATAAAAAATAAAAATGCCTGAGGATATAGCTCAGCAGTAGAGTGCCCCTGGGTTTAACCCCTAGTATCATGGGGAGGGGGGAAGTATAAATGAAGAACTGCACAGCGGGGGCCTAAATACTTAAGAATTATAACTTGCACTAAAAAACTGTTAAATAAAAGTTGTTCTGTCCTGCTACCTGGACATAAAGAAGTGAGTAAAACATAAAGAAGAGCAGGGAACAGCTATAAGTCTGCTTAGTTATCTTTTAGCAGGTCCACACACATGATAAATGTGTGGTGACTGGGAAGACCATTTTGGATCTTAGAACTCTTAGACACTTGGATCTTACTAGAACGTGTGATGCAAGAATGGCTGCCAAGCCCAGTCATCCATCTTCCCCTCCACCCCATACCACATATGCCTACACCTCAAGCCCCAAGGGCGACCTTCACCAGATGGCCTCTTGCAGATAATCTGCTGCTGTAATAGGGATTAGTGAAACAGGTATTCAGATTCTATTAGACAGTAAGGACAGTGGCCCCAAAATGGAGTCAGGAGTTCCAAACTGGAGTCTGCTGAGTCACCACTCACCAGCCATCTTACAAAAACATCCACCAGGTGTCTCTGTCTGTCAGAGACCTCCCTAGAGCATGATCAGGCAGGTGATTGGCTCAAGGACGCATGGGCCCTGCATGGACACTGCATGAACACTGCATAGATTGAATCTTAAAAAGTATGTAGGCTCCCGTTGGTTAGAGATTATATTGCTTGTACAACAGCCCAAGCCCCCTTATAAATACCACTTTAAAAATGCCTAAAGTAACAGCCTATTGGGTATCCTACTCAGGACCCTTCCTAACTAGTGGGAGCTCTACTTCCTTACTTTTATATTTTTCATTTCCTTGCCTTTATATCTTTTAAGTCAATTTGCTTCCACCCTATCTCCTATAGCCATGGTTTGATTTTTTTTCACCATGGGACATAATTCTAGTATTTCAGCATCACTCCTAGGCCAGCCCTTCAAAAGGCAGACCTGAGGAAATGCCCATGAAGACCTGGATAGGCCTGAAATCCTTGGACGGGGACTCCCAGTATCCCAGTACTTGGCACTTGGTCTAGAAAGGGAAAATGGTTTCCAAGTGCACATGGTCTCTCAGACCCTCTAGACTCTTCTCCTTTTATGAAGATGCATGGTTGGAAGGAAGCCAGATCCCCAAAGCCCAAGGTCCCACATAGAGTCCCATTGCATGGGGCTAGTATTGCCTTGAAGGGGAAGAAATGGATTACATTGGGAAGAGCATTCAGAAGGCAGCTGGGGTCTTGGCAGTCACCTACAGTGGCAGTCCTGGGTGGCAGGTACATTTATAATAGTTTATTAAACTGTACATTTGTTTTCTATGGTTTTTTTGTGTGTGTTGTATTTCCCAGTAAAGGATTAATAAAATGTGTCCATACGCACATGCACACATACATACACACCATATATTTCTGGTGCTATAGTTTAAGGGATTCCCAAAGACAAATCAACTCTGAGTAGTTCTTATAAGTGCAGACACTATGGGCAGCTAAAATGCTCCAAGATGAGAGAACCTAAAGGGGAAGTGAGTAGATTGCTGGCATCACTAACTCTCCTGCTTGTCCTCTGCCCAGTCTGGGCTGAATACTTGGGTAACCATGCACGGGGTCAGGCAGAGCCGATGAGTCATGGCCTATGTCCTATTACCACGCCACTGCAAGTGCCTCAGAGGAGAATTCCTTCCCTCCTCCCTGCCATGATTATATACACTGTGTTTATCAAACCAAAATTACAGGAGGCCGTTCCTGCCTGAGTAGAAGCGTAAGGAAACCAACCCCCAATTACCCTCTGTTGGAATGCAGTTCTAGAAGGGCTTCTCTTCCTCATATGGGCAACTGGATGCTTCAGGAAATAGTTTGCTGAGCATTTACTATGTGCCAGACACAACCCTTATTTTTGGTTCACTTTCCACTTCGTTTTGAGTTTTTATTCTTGATAGGGGAAACTGTTTCATTTTTACAAAGATTCAGATAACTAATTCTCAAAAAGCTTTCCATGTATCCCACATGGTTTAAATATCAGGTTTTTGTAAGACTATACATTTCAATGGTAGTTCATAAACACACACACATACACACCTGACTTCAAAACTAAATCTTACAGCTGTGAGAAGATGAAAGGAAAGTTAAAAAAAATTGGCCAGAACCAGTCCACCAAAAGCCCAGTTGATTTTTCTTCCAAGAAAAAAAATCAAATTCTGGGCTTTGCATCTAAGCTGTTTAAAAGCCACAGTTCCAAAACACCAATTTTTCTCCTTTTTGGGAAACTAAAAAAGCATATGGCTCAAGTGACCTTCACAGACTTCTGGCCAGGGGTAGAGCCAGGCACATTTGGTGGCTTCAAAGTGAAAAGAGCAATATATTAAGTTGTCTTAAAGGGGAATATTGAGACCATAGCGATGAGAGGACAGAAAAAAGAAGCTCAATCAGTGACTAATGTGACAGGGTGTAGACAAGGAAGGGTTCCTCTCACCTTCACTTGGCAATATGCACCCACCGCCACGCAAGACGCCACTCACTGTCCATCTTCTCCCTCCTGCGTGCTTTCTCCTGACCCACTGCATAGTTGACCAGACTGTCATGTTTCACAGCACTGAATTTTTGGGTGGGCTCCTTGAGGGCAGGACCATATTTTATGCATCTTTTGAGTTCAAATTAATGTAGGAAGAATGCCATGAACACTTTCCATGATTGTATACACGCATGAATGAATGGATTTCTGAGATTATAGATTTGGCTATTCCAACAACTATGATAAAATCTTTGAATAACAAAAGCATCCCAACCCTTCACAGAGTTTACCCACCTTTTTGTTTCTAACTTCTGTTTTCAGCTGCAGTGAGCTGTGAGTCCACAATGCCAGGCGCTAGCAGGAGCATGTTGCGCATTCTTCAAGAGGAGTTATGAAAAGGAGGAAGCCGGCCAGCAAACCAGAACCCTGGAATTATCCTCCTGGAGACCCGGAGCTCCAGCATTCCGCGGGGGAAGATGTGGGCAAGGGTGAGTGGTGTGGAAAATAACGTACATTTTGTGATTTCCTTTTCTGCAGTTGAACTCAGATTAATTTCTCTAAAACAGTAATATGAATGCTGTCCCACTGTTACACAGGACTGCAACGTGTGTGTGTGTGTGTGTGTGTGTGTGTGTGTGTATGAATACATATAAATACATATATGAATATATTTGAATATATACATATATATGAACTTTAGGCAGCCGGATTTTGCTGTTAGATGAATTTTTCACATGGATAGCCTGAGGCATATAAGAAATCCTCTTCCATTGGGAAATTTCTGGGGAAGCAGTCCTCTGGGATACAGGTAAAAGATTACCCCTAGGATAGCTGGTTCCTGAGAGGGTCTGGAAGGTTTACTCGCGAACTGATCAGAAGTTGATCACCCAGTCAGGGATTAAGCCATTCTTTGGTTCCACTTTTCTTTGCCAATCACCTTAAACCACTGGACTTCTATTTAACCATTCCACAAGAAAATCAGCTTGGCTTGCTGTAGGGATTAAGGTTAAAATGGTCAACAAAGGTTTCCTAAAGCTTTATGAACATTAAATATAAGAAATTGCATGTAATTGCATCTATTCATTGGCTTCCAAGGGAGCCAGGCATCATGGCATGGTGCAGTGAATTGGGGGTCATGAGTGTGTGTCCTTGTAATAGAGTTGGCCTGAGGTTGAGTTACTTGGGTTTTTTTAAATCTTTGTTTCTACTTTCATAAAATGGTAATAGAACAATTGTCTAAGGATAAAATGAGAAGATGCACTGAAAATAATGTGCTCAAAAATGATTAATTCTCATATATGTTGAGTCCAATTATCTGTTGTTTATATTATGTAGAGAAGCAAACAATTTAAAAATACTTATCATAGTTCTATTCATGGTACTATGAAATGGTATGTGTGGGTGTGTGCAAAACCAACAAATAAAAAAGCACCAAGCACTGAGCAGTCATCTCAGGCCAAAGAGGGCTATATTTTATTTGCAGGAAAAAGGCTATAAGCTAACTATAATGACAAATATTTGCTCTAAACATGTTGATAAACCATAAAAGGATCTCCCTGAAAGTTGTTAAAAGCAAGTTTGGTTTTCACATCACTGTGATGTTTAAGGTACATTATCACCTCTTAAAAATCTCGTTTAGTTCTTGGATTCTAGGATATAAATCTGTCATAGCATTGGACCCTTCAGAGGCTTCAATCAAACAAACTTACTAATCCAACTTGGAATGAATTACACTTATCTGTGACTCCCCGAGCCACTCACCAAGAATATGAATTTCCTTTTGTATAGTGAAACATAATTAATCTCTTATTTGTTTATAACTACTCAGCCAGACTTACTGATACAAAAACAGGGAAAGAAAAGAAGCCCTTAAGCAAACCAGTATTTCGTTCCATTTGAGTCCCTGCAATGACTGTACTGTGTTTCCTCCAATACATGCTGATTCTTGACTTCAGTGTTTGAGACCTAACAACCAGGCAGTTCTACCTCCTGAAATCTTTGATTTGCATTAGAATTATCTACACGAAGAGTGGAGATGTCCACTGAGATCTGTAATTCCAAAACATCTGTGATTTTTCCTGTCACCATTAAATTTTATTTCAGTGTCACACACACGCACACGCACACATGCATGCATGCACACACCACTTCATACCAGCATAAAAGAACATAAGTATTTTTAAATGATCATTATCACCTAGTGAACAAGAAAATTTATTCCATGTTAAAGTGCTTCCTAAGGATATATTTCCAGTGCTTTTGAGGGAGTAGTATGTCGCTTAAAAATGTGGACCTGAAGCCATAACTTCTCTACTTGCGCCACAACCCTACCACCAACAAGTAGTAGGACCTTGGACAAGTTAATTAATCTCTTTGTGTCTCAGTTTCTTTGCCCATAAAATGAGGATGAGAACACCCACCCTGAGGGATTGTTGTGATTATTAAAAATGTAAATTGCTTAGAATTGCAGCCACCACATAAGCCCTCAACAGATGCTTCTGGTGACACCTGCGCTAGGTAAGAGGGCCAGTCTGCACATCTCCTGGAAATCACACAAGGGAAAAGAGGCAAGATGCCACAAGTGAGCAAAGGCCTGCTGGCGGATGGGCCTCGCAACTCTGGTGCAGGCCATGCTTGGTGGCTCTGCTGAGCTTCCTTATGTTGTGGGGTTCCGGTTCCATCAGCAGCAGTGAAGACATCATGGTTAGCACAATCCTCTGCAGAAACCTGTGCTACAGCCATAATATTCTGAAAAATATTTTTATCATAAATATTCTCAAAAACAAACCCCTTACAGGAAGCCCATCAGATAAAGGCAAGCCCAAATGCCCTGTACAAATAGGAAAGTGAACAGAAAGCGGAGAGGTCACATTTCACCTAGCGGTGCAGAAGGGCCGGGCACCCGGTCACTCGTTTGCTGTAGTTGTTTGGCTTTTGTTCCTTTTTCAGAGCTGGTAGTTTACCCATTAGCTGAGGCCCGACTAGCAACGATAAAGAGGCTGGCTCAGTAAACCTGGAAGACTGCAAAGGAAATCTTTTCAACTACAGACCTTTTTCTTTGTTGTCTTACTCCTCCTCCCCAAAAGAGGGCAAGAGGCTAGCAGCTGGGCAAGGAGTGCTGTGGTTTAGCTAAGGACAAAAAGCCAAACCCGGTGCTTGCGTCACAGAAGACCAGAAAATGTTGACTGATGGAATTTGAAAAGGTTGCCCTTTTTCCCCCACTAAAAGCAAGTTCAAGGCAGGTCCAAAGTAGTTGTCTACACTATGTATTTACATCTAAGTGTCCTAAAAGGGGAATTGAGATCGAGAGGGGGTAATTCACATACTCTTTAATCACTCTTGTAAAGATATTATAATTCTGACAGCTTTTAAGGAATATGAAAACTCTAGTGAAAATTATCACTCATCATCATTATACTTAAGAGACAGATTAACCTGCTCAGAGTTCCAAGTTGGTGCTTAGGGCATGAAGATGAAAGGGTAGGGATCTAAACATAGAAAGAGCTCTAAATCTGCCTGTATGAGTATGTACAGGCTGCTATAACAAAATACCACCAATGGGGGACTCAGACAACAGGAAGCTCCTTCCTCACAGTTATGGGGTCCAGGAGTCCAAGTTCAAGGTGCAGGCAGGGATGGTTTCTCCTGAGGTCTCTTTCCTCGGCTTGTCAGTGTTGTCTTCTCCCTGTGTCTTCATATAGCCTTCTCTCTGTGTCTTTTTAGAAGGACACTACCATATTGGATTGGCCCAGCCTTACAACCTCACTTTAGCTTAACCACCTCCATAAAGACGCTGTCTCCAAACTCAGTCACATTCTGAGGTAGTGCAGGTTTGCACTTGAATTTATGAACTGAAGGGAGGCCGCCGCTCTGCCTGTCACACCACCTAAACGTGAGCGTGTGTATCCACAAGGACAATTTGGGGGCTTGGGGGTGGGGCTTTTTTGGTTTTTTGTTTGTTTAGAGACAGAGTCTCATTCTGTAATTCAGGCAATCCTTGAACTCACTACATAGCCCAGCCTGGCCTCAAACTTGTGGCGATTCCTCCCGAGTGCTGGGGTTACAGGCATGTGCCACTACGCCTGGCTTTGGACAATTTGGTTTAACATCACAGTCAAGTTCCCAGCCAAACAAATTCTGAGATGGACTGAAAGAGGCTTATGAGGAATGCTCTCGGGAATGCCCTCAAGGATAAAGAGGAAGCAGAATTAGGCAGGAGAAGTCAAGGTTAAAATAAAGGCCACAGGGTGGGAGAGATAGCTCAGCAGCATAGCACCTGCCTGGCAAGTGCAAGGTCTGGAGTTCAATTCCTGGTACCAAAAAAAATGTTTTTAAAAAGGCCACAGCTGATTGTTTGGCCCTCTGGATCCGTGGTGGTCCTTCTGAGTTGTCTGGAACTGAAACAAGAGTTTGGGACTTCACATCCCTGCCTGCACCACATGTTGGATGTGGGCTGCCCCAGGGAGGAGGCCGGATATGCAAGAGGAAGCTCTCTTTGGCCAAGGATAATCCAGGAAGGACATCTGCTTGAGAGTTGCTGGTTTCCTGCCCTTCAGTAGCTGACACAGTGAACAGCTGCTCAGGCTGAAGTGGCGTCTCTGGTTGGGGCACCTCAGTGTCTTCTTCAATGTAAGGATTACTCTTCCCCAGGGAAGTTTCTCCAAGTGAACTGTTTTCTTCATAAGACAATTTCATAACCTACAGAGTGGGAGAGAATATTTGCAAACTGCAGAGCTATAAGTGGTTAATATTTAAGTGTATACACACACACACACACACACACATATGACTTATACAACTGACAGGAAAACCTAGGTTTTTTTTTAGATGGGCAAAGGATCTAAATAGATATGTCTTAAAAGAAGAAATACAAATGGCCAACAGGTACATGCAGAACATCCCTAATGACCAGGGAAATGTAAATCAAAGCCACAATGTGACATCATCTCATACCTGTTAGGATGTTTTTTTGTGAAAAACTAAGACAAGTGGACCAGGATATGGGGAAAAGGGAATCCTTGCACTCTGTTGGTGGGAGTATAAATACCTGCAACCATGACAGAAGACAATAAGGGGTTCTTCAAAGAATTAAAAGTGAAGCTACCAACACACTTACTTCTGAGTGTATACGTTCAAAGGATTGGAAATTGGTGTGTTGAAGAGATGTCTGCATACCATGTTCACTACAGCATTGTTCATGATAGTCGAGATAAGGAAACTCCCTATGTGACCATCTGCATATAAACACGTGATCACATTGTAGTATACATAGATAGTGAAATACTACTCACCATTGAAAGGAAGGAAATCCTGTCATTTGTAAGAACATGGATGGAGCTAGAAGACATTATACTAAGTGACATAAGCCAGTCAAAGAAGGACAAATGGCGTATGGCCTGACTTATATGTAGAAACTAAAAAAGTCCCCTTCATAGAAGCAAGGAGTAGAACATTGGTTATGAGGGGCGGACATCTGGGGAAAATAGGG